TGGAAACTGCTTCTTTTTCTAAATCAATGAAATCTACAAGTGAACAGTCAAAACAAAATAAACATGTGAAATCTGACAAGAAACGTGAAATTTGACAAGAAACAAACAATGTCTTTATCTGCCTCTGTCACCAAGGTCAGGGAGTTCAATGTACCAGGTGTTGATAGAGTATTCCATATATCACTACATCAATCAGAAAGACTCTGGATCAGTGATGGTGGTGGTAATATTGTCCAAACAGATCTACATGGGAATGTGATACAGAAGATAAAAACCAGTGGTACATGTATATGGGAAGGTTACCACACAGTGACAGAGGACAGGGATCTGATCTTTACAGACAAAGGCAATAAAGTCGTCATTAGGATAACACAGAATAACAAGATCACTGACTTCATTAAAACTGGATACTGGTCACCACTCAGCATACACTCCTCCCACATCAACGAGGACTTACTGGTGGGGGATGAGGAAGGATGGAGAAGGGCAAAGTCACCAGGTACACCAAGACATGGAAAGAACTACAAAACATACAGTGGGATAATAGAAGAAAGGGACAGTATAATTATCCACACTACATCACAGAAAACATCAATGGAGATATCTGTACATCAGACTTTGATAAAGAAGCAGTAGTGGTGGTGTATAAATCAGGGCAACACAGGTTCTCCTACACAGGTCGGGGGTCAGGGTTCCGTCCCTTTGGAATCTGTACTGATGTCCTCGGTCATATCCTGGTTTGTGATCATTACACTAACACTGTTCACCTCCTTGATCAGGACAGTCAGTTCTTGTCTTATTATTCACACGACAACAAGGGGATCCTTCCCCGTAGTGTGTGTGTGGATGATGAGAACAATCTCTATGTGGGACAAGGTAACACCAACAAACTGACAGTGCACATGTATCTAAAGTGATTATAATTCTGTCAGTTGTACATAATTATTACAAAACTTAAAATTGTGATTTCCAGCACAGAAATAAACATCCTGAATAGTGTTCCCTGCATTGAACATTATACTGAACAAATTGTACAGATTAAATTAAGTTCAATGGAAAACATTGTACAAACACTTCTTTGGATTTGGAATTAAAAGATATCTGTCTATTCTTCTACATGTTTAAATAATGACAAAATATGACTCAATTTTTAGTAAGAAAAAAAGAAAAGGAAAGAGAAACAGTTTTAGTGAAATGCTTATATACTCAATAATTAATTCATGCTTACAGTGAAGAGATTTGATTTATTTTAATACTGATGCTTGAAAATCATATTGTTATATAATGAATTAAAATCAGAACATACATGTGATAAATTTTAAACCCAAAACCTGTACTGTACAGTAGTCTTTGAAATACTGGATTTTGGTTGAAAATACTGTTCATTGTTCATTAAAAAAGTGTACAAAAACTGTAAATTATATCAACCAAAAATCATTTTATGAGGGTAATTTATGAATTTAAAATCACTGAAAACGTTACCACTGCATGCAGTGTTAAACTTAATTACTCATTTAAAAAAAAACTCTTGCAGCTTTTAGAATCTCAGCAATCCGTATGGACAATGCTGAACTTGGTAAAAAGACTTTCATAGTACAGCGTTTAATGCAAGAGTGGTTATTTCAATTGATCTGCATTTTTTCTAATAATTCTAAAAGACTAGCATTTTTCTTCCTCTGCATCAGAATGGACAATACTTATGCCTAAGCAGAGAAAACAAGATGTGTTTGTAAAAAACAGATGCCCCCGAATGGCAACATAGAAAAAGTTAAGTTTTCTCTAATGCAGATCAAATATGTTGATACCTAAAGTAAAGCTTTTTCACAAGAAATAGAAATGTGAAATATAAAACCCTAGCACCACCTATTCAAAGGTTATGACCAACGTTTTTAAAGGTTGGACAAACTCTGGGTCAAGGTCAAAGTGTCAAAGTTGTTGGTTTCTAAACAAAGACTCTGTCTCAAAGATTACACATAGAAAGTATGAAAGTGCTGACCCTTACCATTCAAAAGTTATGGCCAAGGTTTAAGTATGTAAAAAAATAGTTGTTGATATCTAATGAAAGGTCTTGTCACAAGGATTATATATGTGAAGTATGAAAGCTCTAGACCCTACTGTTCAAAATTATGGCCAAGGTTTAAGTTTGTAAAAAGTAGGTCAAGGTCAAAGTTCTTGGTATAGAATGAAAGGTCTTCTCAAAAGGATTACAAATGTGAATAATGAAAGCCCTAGCCCTTACCATTCAAAAGTTATTACCATGGTTAAAGTTTTTTTTTGTTAGTACGAAAATCTCCAAAGTCAAGGTCAAAAGGTCAAAATTGTAGATTTCAAATGAAAGGCCTTGCCACAAAAAATTGATATTTGAAATATGAAATTCCTAGAATCTACCGTTTAAAAAAAAAGGCCCAAGTAAAAGTTTGGTTTTTTGTGTAAAAATTAGTCAAACTCAAAGGTCAAGGTCAAAGGGTCAAGGATCTTGATACCAAATGAAAGGTCTTGTTACAAGGATTAAATATGTGAAGTATGAAAGCCCTAGTCTAACCCTTCAAAAATTATGGTCAAGGTTGTATTTTAAAAGTAGGTCAAACTCCAAGGTCAAAGGATCAAAGTTCTTGGTATGTAATAAAGGGTCTTCTCAGAAGGATTACATATGTGAAGTATGAAGGCCCTAGCCCTTATCGCTCAAAAGTTTTAGCCAAATTTAAAGTTTTTGCATATGAGAAGGGAAATCTCCAAAGTCAAAAGGTCAAAATTGTTGGTACTTTTTGAAAGGTCTTTCCGCAAGGAATACATAAGTTATATGAAGTACAAAAGTCCTGGTATCTACTGTTTAAAAGATATGGCCAAAGTAAAAGTTAAGAATTTTTGTGTAAAAGTAGGTCCAACTCCAAGGTTATGGTCAATAAGTTAAATTTGGTGGTACCCGAAGAAAGGCCTTGTCACAAGGAATACACATGAGAAAGAGGAAAGTCGTAACTCCACTAAATCAAAAGTTATGGGCAAGGTTAAAGTTTTTGCGGACAAACAAACAGACAGACTGAGAGACAGCTGGAAAGACGGACGGACACGACAAAAACTATATTACCCTTGAAACTTAAAAAGTCATAGATTAAATTTCTTGTTGCTGTCATACAGTTGCGCTGTCAGATTATATTGTTGTTTTCTCTCTTATAAAAAACAAGCAAATTCAAAGAATTGTGGTCCCCCGCTTTCTGTGTCTTTGTGGGTGGGATGTTATTTTTTATGACATATTGTGTCAAATCTTGTGATAGGTAATGCACATGTCTGTTGAAAATTGCTTTCCATATAAGGTAGTGATCTCGACCTGTTTAAGAAAAGTTGAATCTTTGCTATTTTGCCACATGGGGTCATCAGGTTCAATTCCTTATAGCATTTGATTGAGAAGAGATTGGGCATAGATATCTGACACACGTGTCGATGTCTTCGTCACACCCGTTCTCCAATAAAGTGAATGAGTCCCAACTCCCAAAGTATGACACTCTACTACGTGTTTACAATTCAATGGTGACACGTGGTTTTCGTCGGTTTACTGCACGTTATTTAACTCGTTACCGGAAAAAATGTAGAGCTTCTTTATCACTTTATAAGACTGAAATTGAAAGATTACATTCTAAAGACATTGCTCCATGCTCACATTTAATATTGACCCAGATAGCAGGATGTTATTGGACCTTTGTTGGGCCAACAATGCTCCTTATGTTGGGCCACCATATGCATTCAACATTGGGCCATCGGTAATTTGCTCATCGGCCCTTAATCAATCCAACTTGTTGGCTTATTGTTGGGCCAATGTAACAGTTAAAATTGGGCCACTGTTGGGCCAATGTATTCTTTCAATATTGGGCAAACGTCATTTTTGTACAGTTGGGCCATTGTAAGCAATTAATGTTGGGCCAACGGTAATTTGATCATCGGCCCTTAATCAAACCAACTTGTTGGCTTATTGTTGGGCCAATGTAACAGTTAATATTGGGCCATTGTTGGGTCAATGTATTCTTTCAATATTGGGCAAACGTCATTTTTGTACAGTTGGGCCATTGTAAGCAATAAATGTTGGGCCATTGGTAATTTGCTCATCGGCCCTTAATCAGACCAACTTGTTGGCTTATTGTTGGACCAACAAACGGATATTATTGAGCCATTGTTGGGCCACTTATTCTTTCAATATTAGGCAAACACCGTTTTTGGGCCAACGTTGGTTTTTATCTTATTGGCTCTCCATCAGGACAACTCATTTGCTCTTCACTGGTTTGCCATTTGTCCTCAAAATTGAATAACATACTATATATAATAAGGTTATACTAGTTTTGTAGTATAATTTAATAGTAAAAGCCCTTTAATACTATAAATACTAAATTAATAGTTTAATACATATTCACAATATCTCATAGAATTACCATCAACAAGTATTGCATTGTAAGTAGCTCTACATTAATTACTGTAAAAAAAATGAGGAAAAAGAAATCAGAATATAAAATTCAATTATAACATACTAGTATTTTATTGCTCAGTGCATGAAGAAAACATTAAAAAAGAACAAAAAGTTGATGCTCACTTGAAGCGATACATGACTGTATACTCCCTCTCTGATGTAAATTTATGCACAAGTTCAGTAAATTGCAGGTATCAATAAGCACGTCTAAAAAATAAACAAAGCCTCCTGTTCTTAAAATAATACTAAAATGAATCCATCCATTTTGTTTACTTACACAAAAAAATGTTCCTGGCATCTGCAACGTGTTTGTTACCGACAGACACAGAAAAGGGTAGAACTACAGGTATGTCACAGGTATAATAGAAAAAAGTTAGGGACTGCCACTTTCCATCTGATCCCTCTCCTAAGTCTCCTTTTCTCTCTCCCGAGTCTCCTCCCCCTTCTTTTCTTCTCTGTCCGTTTCTTCCTCCCCCATCCCTGTCCTTGGCAACGTTAGCCATTCTTTGATTGTATTCTCAATGTCTTTTTAGAATCTCCAGTAGCACTAAAATTGTAGTATTTGGTACTTTAAACATTTTTTACTTTTCTCAGTAAAGAGTAAACATACGATTAAATTTACAAGTAATTCACTACATGTTTAAGCTGTCAATTGAGGAATAACCGTCTTTTTTGTTTCATGGTGTGATTAAGAGATAAGCTTGCGTGATGAAGGCATTTATGCATAAAATTTCTACGCTTGGTCATCATCATCACACCGATTTTGATTCAATGTTGCCCCATATAAATCATTATTCAAAGTAAAATACATGCATATAAAATTTGTCGGTACACTGAACAAATTTTAAATGAAAGAACCCAATTTATGTTTTAGTACTGAATAAATTTTGTTTTAACTTCAACATGTTCAACATGTTTGATCATGTGCTCGACGTTAAGTGTATACAAGTAAAATGAGAGGTAGACCGGAAATTTATTCTACTAGACACAAATTTCAATCTTAATAATGGGCAAATCATTTATTGTTTTAACTGTATCAAAACACATGTGATATTTTTATACTTTCATTTATTTTCCTTGTATAGAAACAATAAATTTGATCACTGATAATTTATTTTGTTTTGATAAATTATAAGAATTTTAACAATCCTTGTAAATTTATTTTAGCTAACTTGTATTTTCAAGTAGGATTGGTGGTAGATTTATTTCTGATTGTAGAGACTATCGGATTTGGTAATATACATATTTGTAACAATTAAATGTTTATACACATTGGCCCAATGTTGGTCCAATCCCCCAGCAACTATTTTCTCTCATGATAATAGTTTTATGATATAACGCCAACAGTTAGCCCAACAGTGGTCCTATTATACATAACCAACTATATCAATATTCCATGTTGGACCATTGTTGGCCCAATAAAGATAACCCAACAGCGATAGTACAATCATAATGTAAGATTGG